ATTTCAAAAAATCATTCATAGGGATTATTCCATTGACTAGTTTCAGCTCTTCAGCGTAAATCTAGTTATCCACTTCTTAGATCACGTTTAACCCTCGCTTCCAAAAGGCAACCACACGAGTCTAACAAGGATTTACGACTCCTACAAGTCTAAGTGATGGTTTAAGTGATACCCTAGCTTTAAATCTATTTTGTCTCTATGGCCTCATTAGATTAAGGATCATTTTGTCGCTATGGCCTCAATGATCCTATCCCACCTTGTCGCTATGGCCTTGGTGAGGATCGAGAGTCACTCCGTCGCTACACTACCAGATTATTGACTTTCAGCGACGGCCAGAAACTGTCTCTAATCATCAAAACCGTCGCCAATTAATGATTGGCGACGGTGTTTGGCCGTCTCTAATCCTTCTCTAATTATTAGGGAAGGATTAAAGACGGTATTAGTCATCGCTAATTAAAATTTAAGATTACAAGGGATTAGGACCTAGCCGTCTCTTTTTTTCTTCCGTGCCAATTTTTTGGCGCCTAAAATTTTATTGTCGACCCTCGGCCGTCTCTAATTTTCAAAATGGCCCTCCCAGGACCGTCTCTAGGCCGTCCCTAAATTTTTTTTTTTATCTTTCTGTTTCAACTTGCCGTCTCTAGGCCGTCGCTAGGCCCTCTCTAGTTTTTGTTTAGAATTCCCTGTTTCAACTTACCGTCTCTAGGCCGTCGCTAATTAATAAACTCGACAAAATATTTTTGCCGAAACTAATGGGTGCTCTCTAGGAGCCTTACACATGTCCATTCTTGTACCTGAAAATAGACATTCATTCATAAGCAATTTATAATTCATACGATCATTCACATTTCATTTAAATTTACTTACAATTCATTCAAATATTCATTCGCAGAACATTTATTCAAACTTACAAATTCTTCGAAGTATTCAAACTTACAAATTCATCGAAGTATAATTGAACTATATTTTTTTGAATATAGCATCAAGATCTAAAGGAGGATTCGGAGGATCCTTACTTGGAACGATTGCTTGGCCCGTGCTCGTGCTTGTATTTCCCTCCTAAAAAACAACAAAATAAATCAGATTGATTAAGTTAATATTTATACTAAGAATTTTAGTAAGTATTGAATAACTTACTTCTAGAGTAGCGATTTTGCCTAACAAGTCTGTTTGTACTTTTAGCATGAGCTCAATTTGTTGGTTAACCGTCTCGAGTCTCTGGTTGACGACCGCGTTAAAAGTTTATTGGACACGAGTATCGAATTCTTCCTTTTTCTTCTTTTCTCTTTCTTCTTTTGTTAGACGATTTAATTTGGCCTTGGATTTCTATGGCATCAATGAATCGTTCCCCGGTCTCATTCCGAGAATACGTCCTTTCGTCTTGCCTCCTGAAGCCCTAATTCAAGCTTCCAGACTGTCATCAATGAATAGCGGCCTTTTACGCTTGTAGAATGTCGATCCTTGCGTCGACATTTCTTCTTCGTCTGTTGACTCCTCGTCCTCCTCGTCTTCATTTAATGATTGTTGTTTATCAAAATGTTCCTTTTTGTAAGTTTCGTAATCTGACTATTATAAACAATAAAGAAATCAATTAGTAATGAAAATAAAAGAAATTACAAAATATTGATAATTAAATATGTACCATTAGAGTCTTCCCTCTATCGTTGGTTGGATAATGAGTGGACATAAAAGATTCTGTAAATGAAGCTGGTCGACCGAGTTTCAAACTCTATATCATGAAAAAATGATCAATTATTTGAAATAAAAAGTGAACCAATTAGATATTAAATAGTTTTACCAATGGTTGAGTGTTAATTTCAACGGATGCCGATCCTCCTTTGTAGAGGATGTATCCTTCATTGCTTGTGCAGTTTTCAGAATTCTTCTTTGATTTTGCTTGAAATTCGCTTGACAAGAACTTCGTCATCATTCTTTCCCATTGGTTCTTTCGCAGGTATCCAGGAGGAAAGTTCTTGCAACTGTCGTCTAGGGTACCCACACATGCTAGCTTCTTTGCATGTTCCCGGGCATTATTCATCCATTTAGGATAGTTCATTGTCAAATATTTGTCGAACGTGGTTCAAACATAATCGCTATCTTCGAAAGTGAAAAATTTCTAAAAACGAAAAATAAGTTGTTAATATTTCTAACTAATTAGAAAAATGAAAAAAAAGAAAGTAGACCAAATTTAATGATTACCAAAAATTTATTCCATACTAGAGTCTTGTTCTCCTCACTCCATTCAGCCTAAAAAATCTCATCGTCAGGAATGTTTGGTTTCACTATACATCCGATTTGTTTTCGGATTCTGTTTGGGAATGATCTATATAGGTTGAAGTTTATTAATATCTTAAAAATAAATATATTCAATTTAAAAATACTTACCCACAAGCCAATATCTGGCCTTGAAATGCTTTCGAGGGATGGGGAATTCCCTTCGAAAACGTTCTTGTTGAAACCCTAGAAACAACCTCATCATTGGCAGGTTGTCGTCGTCCCCTAGAAGTACGTCCCCGTCCGATTCTTCCCCATACCATATCTGAAAAGTAAAAAATTTAATCAAACACGATAACATGAAAATAATAGAAGTATAATAAAATAGACTTACAATTAAATTAAAAACTTATTATCATTGTTATTGTCACTAGATGAATCATTATTATCCGTACTATCATTTTCATCAAAACTATGTTCATTATCATTGTTACTGTCATTGGTATCATTGTTCGATTCTTCGGTAAATTCATGACTGCTCAGAGGGATATCATCGATTCGGTTGTCATTGTTGATGGCGTTCACATCGTATTCACTGAAATCGTCTTGATATATATCCAAATCTTTTTCAGAAATATCAATTGTATCTCGAGCTTTCATTCTAAGGACCGTGTGCCAATCATTAGATTTTCCAGAAACACTCGGTATGTAACACACTTGGTCGGATTGCCATGCGAAAATGAAAGGTTTGTATGCTCTGAGTTTAGAATGTGTATTGATCGTCACCGTCTTGAATTTATCAGTTTTAATACCCTTGTGAATATCAAACCATACACATTAGAACATACAAATTCGAGTGTCATCGCCAAGAAAATCAAGTTCTATAATTTCTTCAAGAACCCCGTAATAGTTATTTTCATCGTCTCCATATGAAAAAGATCCTCGAACCATTACACCACAGTTCTGTGATGTCTTATTCTCATCTTCGCTTTTCGAATGAAACCTAAATCCATTTACAATATATTTCTTGTAACAATTTCTTTACTCGGACCTCTTGCAAGAATACGTAAACGAGTGTCTTCAACATCATTCATTTGATTTTTGAACCATTGATGAAATTCTGAATCAGTCTTATGTTGCAATTCTTCGTCAGACATGTTTGGGTATGTTTCCAACAATTCTTCTTCAAATTTTCTGACGAACGGTTTCACTTCATCGCAATTGAGGAGCACGTATATCATTATGGCAGTGTATTCTTTATCTTCTAAATATCTACGGTCACCACCTCCTAAGGCACGACCTTGTTGAGCGAATATCGACAAACGACCAGCAGATTCAATTACTCCACCGTCAAAGTTTCTCGATTTTCTGCTAAATCTCGATACGAATGTACTGTCAACGTACATTGAGCAAAATGTGCATAGTTCTTCAGCAATGTAAGCCTCCACAATGGACCCTTCGACATATGCCTTATTGCGAACTTTCTTTTTCAAGAAAAACAGAAATCTGAAAAAAAGAAATATATATTAAATCGATATATATAACACTATGATTTTCGACTAACTATAATTTCACATAAGTTTACTAAATTATTGTTCAACTAACTATAATTATCATTGACACTCATCCTATCGCTGTTTTCGACGGATTCATCATCGCTAGAAATTACTATAGTGGTCGGATAGTTGGACGTAACCGAAACTTCAGAAACCGGGGAAGATTCGGTTTCACAGTCAAAGGAAGGACCTTGCATGGTGGCATTCGCGTCTGAACAATTCAACCCGCAGGAATATTGAAAATCGGGTGGATCTTTCACACCTCCCATAGCCGGTGCTCTTTTGTCTAGTCGGGAACCAAAGAACCTCAATGGATGATCCATCATCGGGGGCCTCCTAGATGGTTGCTTCACTCTTATTACGATTGGCGGATGATGAAAGCTCGATGGAACTACCACCCGTGGCACATACACTGGATCTGGCTGAAATGGAGGTACAACAGGTACTGTTGCAGGTACGGCTGGAACTTGAGGGCGCACCTCTGGAACACGTACCGGAAATGGAGGTCTGCACAGTATCTGTTTCTCTCTCCTTCCCATTATGCTATTTAAAATATCAAACAATTTATTTCAATTTTACATTTAAAAAATTAACTAAGCAATAATTAAATAATGCATTTAAAAAAATTAGATTAATAAACTAAAATAATAATTAAAATCAGAAATTATGTACTTCGAATTTTTCGTGGAATTTGGAATAAACCTGTGAGTTTGGAAGAACCCTACTTTAACACCAATACCTGTAAGTTTGGAATAAACTATATCAAATTACAGTTTGAATTTATTAACAAATAATCGAATTAATTGTTTCAATTTTTTTAAAAATTTCCATGACCATTTTGTTTTTAATGATAATTGAAATCAAATCACATGTACACTTCAAATTTGAAACATATATAACATAAAATTAAACCTGCAAATAAACATACGACATACAACCAATAATTATATAATAAAATATAAACCAAACCAAACAACCCTTCTCTCCATTTTATTTACCTCCTCATTTTGTTCATCCATATATAATCGAGAAAAGGAGAGGTTGAAAGAACACAACGGAATTTTTAATGCAGCCTTTAGGCTAAGAACAATCACAATTGAAGGAGATGAAGATCTTCTTCAATCTACAAATACCCAAAATAGACTTTCCACTCTACATAATGGGATGAGTTCGAGCCTCTCTCATCCCATTTATTTTTGATTTTGAGAGAAATCAAGTAAAAAATAAAATTGTTGAAAGTAGGATTTGAACCCATGCGTCCTTTCGGACCAGAACCTTAATCTGGCGCTTTAGACCAACTCGGACATCTCAATATATATATTTATGTTTTATTAAGATAAAACAGATAATATATTTGATGAAATGATTCAGTTCATTCACAGAATGAGTTTGTGAAGAAAGAATTAATGGAAGATCCAACAGGAAATTTAGCAGCGGTAATAACAATTAAAACCACACACACACTGACACACACATACGTCTATATATATTATAAATTCGGACCATGAAACCTCAATTCCCCATCAAATGCAAGTATACAACTACTCTTCAGAAACTAACTAACTAACTGCCCAAATACCTTGATTCCTTGAGCCATGATTTGTTCAGCAGTTGAATCATCAAACTTAGCCTCCATCGGTGATTCAGCTACCAGTGCTTCTATGTTCTATATATTTATACACACACATCATGTAACTCGATGGGTAAGCCAGTTTGTTGATTGAAGCTTCTTCAACTGTACATTGTGGTGAATGGTGATGGGGACAAAAGTTGAAAAAACCACACTAGTCCCCGTTTCTAAGGGCACTTGCATGAGGCCAGTGTTTTGGAAAATTGGAAACATAAATTAACAATTAATGGTTTGGAAAAGGAAAGCATGTACAGTTTTGAGTTTTGACCATCTTGGGCCATAAATGTTAATTTCTGGAGGAGGTGCAGTCCTGGAGGCGACGTCGGAGCTTCTGGAGCCTTCTAGCGACGATCGCCGGAGAATTTGCGACTAGGTTTTTCCGCCCACGAGAAAGGGGGAAAAACGGATAAAACTGTCGCTGGAGAGAGAAGAAAGGGGAAGAATGATTTGGGGGGAAATATGAAAAATGTTAATCTTTTACTTTGATTAACTTGTGTAAATCAATTGAATTAAAACCAGTTTACAACCCAATCATTTATACACTATTTACAACTAACTATTACAATTAACTAATAACTAATTTTCTTTAAATTAAACTGATTCAATTTAATCGGGTCTCGGGTCGGTCTTGTGAGCCTGGATCCGGATCCGATTAATTGTTGTTAATTGTAACAATTGCTGCACACATATAAAACTATTAGTAATGACACATAGGTCCAACTTTATTAATAATTGGGTTATTCTCAACTTGGTCCATCTTTTTGCTTATTTCAATTCTTTTGTAATAACCTTTCATTTCTTTTAATTACACTTAAGTCCAGTTAACGATTTATTGAAATATTTGCGAATAACCCCTCGTTAGTTATAAACAAACAGTTTAGTCTGTTTTGTTATAACCTTAGAGTTATCTTTATTCCAATTAAGTCCTGAACTTAGTGTTATGGTAAAACTTCTATTTTACCCTAGATTTCACATATTCTTATACTCCCCCCTCAAGCCTTGGAATACACATTGTGAATTCCTAGCTTGACTGAGAATTTTGAAATCTCATGTTCACCTAGGGATTTGGTGAATATATCTGCAAGTTGGTACTTGGTCCCAACTTGTTTTAGGAGAATTATCCCCTTTTCTATCATTTCTCTGATTGAATGACATGTGATTTCAATGTATTTGCTTCTCTCATGGAATACTGGGTTATTTGCAAGGTATATCGCTGACTTGTTATCACAGTATAGTGAGGTTGGAATTACTATTTTCAACTTTAGATCTTTGAAAAGCTGATGGAGCCAGAGTATCTCACATTGAGCTTTACTAATGGCTCTATATTCAGCCTCGCATGATGATAGAGAAATAGTATCTTGTTTCTTGGATTTCCAAGAAATTAGTGAAGTTCCTAGAAACATGCAGTATCCTGATAAGGATTTTCTGCTAACCTGACATGAGGCCCAGTCTGAATCACAGTACCCATAGAGATTCATTTGATTTTGAGATTTGTATAGAATCCCTTGTCCAAGTGCATTTTTAAGATACCTTATCACTTTGAATAAGACCTGAAGATGGATTTCATTTGGATTTCCCATGTACTGGCTTAACCAGTGGACAGGGAAACTTAGGTCAGGTCTAGTAATGTTTAGGTATATTAGTTTTCCTACTAGTGACCTGTATAGTGTTGGGTTTGTTAAGGCCTTGGCCTTTTCATTTCTTAGATTTACAAACCTTTCCATGGGCACCTTTGAAGGTTTTACATCCATGAGCCCACTTTCTTCTAAAATACCAAGTGCATACTTTCTTTGTGACAAGTGAATGCCTTGTGAGGGATAGGAGACTTCAATTCCTAAAAAATAGGATAATCTCCCTAAATCCTTTATTTTAAAGTTTTTCTCAATGTTCTTCTTGATAACAAAAATTTCTGTTTCATTTGTTCCTGTGATGATGATATCATCAACATACACCAATAAGTATATTAAGTTTTCATTTTTGTTTCTCACAAAGAGTGAGTAATAAGAAGGTGTTTGTGTGAAATTCATCTCTAGAAGGACTCCTTTTAACTTGGCAAACCAATTTCTTGATGCTTGTTTTAAGCCATATAAGGATTTGTTTAATTTGCAAACCCTTTTATCTTCTTCATGAAGAAGTCCTTGTGGTGGTTTTAAATATACCTCTTCATGAAGATCTCCATGAAGAAAAGCATTGTTGACATCTAGTTGGTAGATGTTCCATCTTTTCATTGCTTCTATTGCAATGATTGCTCTAACTGTAGTCATTTTGACTACGGGAGCAAAAGTTTCATAATAGTCGAAACCTTTTTTTTGGGTAAACCCTTTTGCTACAAGCCTAGCCTTGTATCTTTCTATCTCACCATTAGGTTTATATTTAATTTTATAGATCCATTTGGACCCTACAACTTTCCTATCATTAGGAAGTGTAGTTAAGGTCCAAGTGTGGTTTAAATGGAGTGCTTCCATTTCTTTATTCATTGCTTCTACCCATTTTGGGTTTTTTGATGCTTCTGAATATGATTTAGGTTTATCATTCACTGAAATTTGATTTAGCAAATTTTTGTGAGTTTTACTTATTCTATGATATGCAACTTGGTTGCATATTGGGTATTTACCTTTGTTATTGTTCCCATACTCATTATCTTTTTCAAGGAAGAAGTCCTTGTAGGCCTCTGGGATGTGTATGACTCTCCCTGCCCTTGTGGTTTTTTTTTCTATTTCCAGGGGTTTTTTTGAAAATTTGCAGAGTTCAGGGGTTTTTCTGAAAATTGGCAATGAATTTTGATCTTCTATGCTTATAGACATACTAGGTTGATCTATACTGCTTTCATGATTATTTTGAACTATTTCTGAATTTTGGATGTTTTCCAAAATTTCATGTTCTTGGTTATTTACAACAATTCCAGAAATTTCAGAATTGATGATGTTCTGGACTTTTCCAGTATTTGCAACATTTTCATGCTCAACAATGCTGTTTTGATTATTGTTGTTGGTCATGTTTCTCATGTGTTCATTTGTAGAACAATTTATTCTATTTAATCCATTGTGGTCTGGATTTAAGAGATCATTTTTTGATCTTTTATCTGGATTTTCCAGATTTTTATTTTAACTTTTGTTCTCTGTTCTGTTATGAGACTCAGAGATTTTTGTTTTGTTTTTGCCTTGGTTATGCATTTTATAGTCATACCAAGTCTTGTTTGAGTCATCATGATAAACAAAAACGTTTTTGTAAATTTTTTGAAGATTTTCTAACTCTTTATTGTTTTCTAGACTTATCTTGTCTTTAAATGGAAATATAGATTCCCTAAAAGATACATTCCTTGAAACAAAGAATTTCATATCAGAAATTCTCAATATGAGATATCCTTTAATCCCATTGGGATATCCCATAAAAATTCCTTAATATGCTTTAGGTGAGAATTTGTTTTCTATTTGTATTGTTGATGCATAGCATAAGCAACCAAATGATTTTAATCTTTCAAAATCAGGAATTTTTTTATTTATCAACTCATAGTGTGTTTTGTTTTCAATGTATTTAGAAGGAACTCTATTTATAAAATGGCATGCAGTTAATATGCATTCTCCCCAAAATTTTATTGGGATGTTTCCTTGAAAATGTAGGGCTCTTGCAATATTCAAGAGTTGCCTATGTTTTCTTTCCACACTTGCATTTTGTGCAGGAGTGTAAGGGCAAGAAAATTGTTGAATTATCCCATGTTTTTCAGTCATTCTTTTAAAATCATTGGAGGTGAACTCACCTACATTGTCACTTCTAATGATTTTGATTTTTGTGTTATATTGGCTTTTAACCATTTTATAAAAAATTTCAATGCATTGTATTGCCAATGATTTATTTTTGATGAGATATATCCATGTTCCTCTACTGAAATCTTCTACTATAGTTAAGAAATAACTATAGCCATCATGGGTTTTTATTGGAAACTTTTCCCATATGTCAATATGGATTAAATCAAAAACTTTTTCTGTTTTTGAGGAACTAATGGCAAATTTCAGTATGGACTGTTTTGCTATAGGGCATATCTTGCAATTATGTTGAATGTCATTGAATTCATTTAAAAAAGTACTTTGCTGAAAAAAATTGGAATTTTCATTCAAAAAATTATTTTCATTTGAAATATCATTTTTATTCAACACTTCACTCAAAATAGTATTTTTATCACTACAACATTTATTTTTGCAAGAAATATTACAATCATTTTTAAAATAGCTAATATTGTATTTATTTGCTAGAATCTTCATCTTTTGTGAAGAAATGTGGCCTAGTCTTTGATGTCAAGTTCTGAAATTGGTAGCTGAATTGGCTAGGAAAAAATGGGGGGTGAAGAAATAAAGTCCATCACTTGATTCACCCTTGCCAATCACTTTCCCGGATTTGTTTTCTTGAAATTTAAAACAATGATCATCAAATATTACTTTAATGTCATTATCTAAGGTTAATTTGCTTATAGCTATTAAATTAACCTTAAATTCAGGAATATATAGGACATTTTTGAGTATTAAATTTTCTGAAATTTTTATACACCCAATTCCTTGAACTATTAATGTTTTTCCACTAGGTATAATTACAAAGTGGTTGTGTTCTTGAATTGGGGGATTTGTAAATAAATGAAGACTACCGGTCATATGTTGTGATGCCCTGGTGTCTACAATCCATTTATCAATA